TCGCATACTCTATAATCGTATCATGTTGCAATGAAGCTGCAGGCATTTTTGTAACTAGCGTGATAAGTAAAAGCCACGTTTGCTCGTAACCAACAGCTTCAGGAACGTTTGTGTACCTTGGAGATTATCCACAAGTCCTGAACATAATCATGTTCAGTTAACCGTGATAGGATTTGGTTTCACAAAACGATCTTCAAGTAAATACGATAGAAATATTTCGGTGATGACCGACAAGGAACGCACTGAACGGCTGTTTCATTCTACTTGGGACTTGTCAGCAGTGCGCGTACATTTTGTGCCCCCGTGTCATGACTCGAACTGGGAACATTCGTGTTGGGACTTCAAACCCTTATCCCTGAGTTATATGGTCGATGGTCATAACCNCAATCGCATTTGAATGCATTTAACTTATGGTGAATGAACGATCTCTCAAGGAGTGAAACCCACATCCAAGAGCATCAAGAGAACGGGCAGGGTTGATATTTTTACTATTTACTTAAAAAATGTCCACTCAGTATCGTCTTTTTTAGGCCTTTGCGATACGTGCAACCATGGGGTTACAGTAGGCTAAAACGTCAATCACCTGACTGGAAAGAGTGTCAACAGTTTAAGGACAACAAAATAGTTTTGACCTGATTGGAAAACCATGGCGTCATACACATACAAATATACAAGGTATATTGACTCGCCTGGTAAAAAATGGCAGAAGAAATGTGACGTTTAGTGCATCACTGGTCGAAATGAAATTTGAGATATCACTCAACGGTTAGAACCAATGGTGCAATGGGCGAATTTATCGTGCTTTTATTTCTAGGGATCAGAGGAGGGAACCACGTTGGGTATATTTCCCTGAAAAGCAGTTTGTCTCACTTATCCTCGACATGCGGTGATCCGAGAGCACATAAGCTAGAATGTGAAACTGCGATAAATTGTGACAGGCGAACGTTTGTGGTACAAAAATAGCGATCTTTGCTTCTTTTTAATTATCTCCTGCAATCATACTTGTCTCGTTTTCTCTACGTCTCATCATAGCCAGACAAATGTAACTGTTGGCAGGACAGAACGGACGAAGTTATGGTCTGAATATTCCTAAGTTATATATGTTTAGGTTTTCTCGATTGTGAGAGCACACAAAACGGTTCTTTTCTTTTTTCTCAAGGATCTTTCTATGTACATTGATTTTCTCTCCTTTTAGTTTTAAAACGAAGACACAAGAGCCATGTTATCGGATCACTTACCTATCAGTAAGTATACTTGTTCAAGCAATTTGTTTAATGCATGCTCAAATATTTCAGCAATGGCTCAGATTTGCGTTGCAAATACACCCTTTTGTCGTACTCTTATTGGCCTATTCAAGCGGTCGATTTTTGTTTTCTAAGTGACCAATTTTATTAAATCTAACGGTAATTAGGACTCAACTTATTTTAACAACGTTCATTTTTATTAACTGAAGGACGAACTGCCGCAGAACATTTTACTTTATTAGGAGAATTGATATTGAACATCAATTTTGCGTGCTCTGAATCAGCTGTCGATGCATATTAAATAGGTCGAATTTTATCACAGGAATACCATATATGGACATTTACATAATTACATGGGTTCAGGCAGAAAGCACTGGGTTGTTGAGAAGATTACGAAAAATTACCAAAATCATTTGGATATGGGTGAAAGAGGAGGAGGGGTCGTTCGCACAGAAGCAATTAGGAAATGAAAACCAATTAGCCGTGGTGGAAAGAGTGTTGAACATGGTTACGTGGTACAAAAAAGATACAACCAGAAATGAATTCGAACGTATAAAGTTAACACAGTAGAAATTTGGTCAATTAAGTAGGTCAAAGAGAGTTACGTAATGAGAAAATAAGAATGATGAAGCGTCAACTATGACGTAATGGAACGGCTGAGGTGATGGGATGGGAAGGGGAGGGGAATTACCATGGTAATAACAACTGCATCATGAAGGCCCTTTGCATGCATAGGTCAGGCTTTAAACGGCTAACGACAGCCGAATCAGCAAACCTGAGCATCTTTGGGCTTCGAACTGTGAGCGTAATGCGGGAAGCTTTGCGTTTGTCAATGTAGTGTCTGGTATCCGGCAAATGTCGTACCCCTGCGCTTGCTGGAAGTTTTCCTCCTCGAAGTAATAAGTTATTCGGAACATGCTCACTCATTCTGGTCGACAGCCAGCGATCAGTCCCATCGACGTACTGCTAACCGCAAATATATTGAAAAAGATAAATGCAATTGGAAGTAACAGAATCACTGGATCTGTCCATGCTTGACCGAATTAGTGAGTTCATTGTCCTGTGAATCATGATCAGCTTAGCTGCAGGATAGGTAGATTCAACTGTAGTACGCAACCGACAACCGACCCGTGCAAATACATTGTCTCCTTTAAATGGTACACGAATGAAAGCTGGTTTGTTTTCAACTTTAGTGTAGGTTGACTTGGGAATGGTAAGTGTGTGACATTTCTCTATAAAAGGCAGGGGATAACCGTTAGAGGACAAGGCAAACGTCAAATCTCTAAGTTCTTTTTCTATTACTTCCGGACTACACAGGCGGCGAACGCGGTAAAACAGGGTTTTTACTAATCCAATCTTGTACCGTAGAGAACAAAGCTTTGGGAATGTTAATACTGGCCCGTCCACGTACACTTGGGATGAATTGACGTTAGGAGTGAACCATTTTTCAATCTTATCAGTTGTAAGTCTAGGAACGAGCGATTAGTGTCACATCCCAAAGTGAACATGATATTGTTGCGCATCCTTTTCAATTTGTTAGACAAAACCATGGCATTTTTTTGTTAGAGGTCAGAGGTTATTGCCAGCGTGTCATCAACAAAACGACGATAAAACACCGAGGGTTTCAAGTTAAATTAGAAAAATGTGATAAATAAATGGGATTGCAAATTGGGTTTTGATTGGAACAAAAGTATCTGTCACATAACTGCTATTATCTTTGGAGAAAAAATTGGAGAATCAGACTGATGGCGCTTAGGAGGATGGAGCGAATGTACCTTATAACTAAAAGCTACGTAATTTTGATATAATCCTTCATTGTGGTCTCATGCGAACAGGCCAACAACTGTCTGCCTTTTATTCACATTACTATCAACGTGTTTTTCTTTTTCTGCGATATCATGACTTTGAAGCCCAGTTTTATTCGGTAAATAACAGCACTGAATCTATAGTTAAATTAGCTCCCCAAACGCAGTAGCATCACAGTCATTTCCCCCGTTTCATGCGAATAAAACGTTAGGGGGTGAGTCATTCCATGTCACAGATGGATTACGTTAATACCAAGTGGTCTTAAAAATCGAGTAATATTAAACACTTGAGCTCCTTCATGTTGAAAGAGAACACAAAACTGCTCTTTCAGACATCTCAAATGAAAATAACAACAGATCACTAGGTTCTGTTCCAAGTGTAGAATATGCGATTGAAAATAAAACTCATTCCACAACTATCGAAATCTTTCTTTATGAGAGGTTGATGCTGTGTATAGCACTAATTAAATGTTCTCCTAAGCAACAGGTTTTTTTAATATAGACGGTTTGAAAGGCCAGTTGTTTTTTCAGCTAGTCCCTAGCAATGTTCGTCTCTTAAATCAAGACATCATTTCCTCATTGCGGGTACTTGGAGACAAATCATCAGTCAGTGATAAGCATTTCGAAAGTTGCATGCAAACACTGCATCAAGTGATAGTTTTAGGACCTTCTGATCTAGCCTTCTAAATTTATTTGCATTAATATACCAGCTGAAGTTCAGTTATACAATAAATCAACCTGTAACAACTGCTAAAAAGACGAAAAAAAGTGAAAATACATCCCCCACTGTTTATATATTTAGTAAGTGAAGTTTATATTTTCTTTACTTACATGAACTCACGCCCAGTATTCTGTCCCGCGTGAAAAGTTCTAGAAAAAGTAAAAGCTGTCATTCCAACTGTCGTGGTTATGTATCCCGATGTGAGCAACATTTGGTTTTGACAAAAAATCAATAAACTGAGCCATGGTTTGATTGAGTAGTCAATGCCTGTTTAACTTTTTTAATTGTTTGCGAAGCTGTTATTAGGTCACTTCCATTGTCACCATGTACTTAATTATCATTTTGAATTCAAGTGAAGCGAAACATAAACCTGAAAGTTGGTAGATACATGTGCATACTTCAATTGTTTCCAAAGGGACAATTTTACAATTTGATTACTGTTAAGCTCATTATATTCATTTGATGTATATTATGAAATCACCGGCAATCAAATTCTGATTTTTATGAAATCAGATTGATTAAATCGACATCTGGAATTGAAGATCTTCAATGGGTTCATATTTTTTCTCGGCAGTGAATGACGACTTACAGCGCATACTTCACTCTGCAATAATCGATATGAGGTAGATGTTTTCCTGCAATTGGAATCTTCATGTCTTTCGAGAGAAATGCTGGATAAGCTTTTGCGATCACTGTGTGGTAATTATTAATTCGTTTTTTATTACACAGTACTGTGTACGGAACAGTAGACGTGGTGGACCCCGTAATCACGAACACCTGCTATTCAGAAATGGTAATCGGCAACCTAAGCTGTGGAAATTGGAGTGATGAACCACATTAGGCCCTATTATGTTAGACATGGTATTGAAGCGGACAGCAACAAATCTACCTAACACCAAAGTTGGGTGGCGGTGGAGAGGTTCTAACATCGGACTACAGGGTCCAAAGTGACTGAACCACTGAGCCACCACTAGATATATTTGAAAGGCAACCAACCAATAAGCGTTTATCTTAGACCGAACTCGTACAAAACAGTTTGCCTGAGTTATTTATTTATATGCAAGTATTAACCGTGTGGGTCTTTTGTAACCGCCTCAAACCAGCTTCGTAGTTACAGCCCTTTTCATTTTTATATTTCTCACAGTCTTATTTTCTGTGATCTTCATCGCCCGAGGCCCGCGGTCACTCTGTTTGGATGTGAATGAGCCGGCACAAAACCAGACGACAACAATGATTTTAGAGGGATTTTGGGAACGGGCCGATCGAACCGCAGTTCAAGCTGGCGATTCCGTCACGTTCATTTGCCGTGTGTGGCAAGTTGTCCCGGTCACCGGTGTGACCGAACTCGATCGGATCATGTTGGATAATGAAATTGTCAAACAATCAGTCTATCTGTATTGCCCACTGAGTGTGGCCTATTGTTCTCAGGATTGTTTATTGGTCGATACAAATTGGCCAATGCGATGCACGAAACAAGTTCGCACTTTGTTTGAGGCTCAGCATGTACCGACCGCTCTCAGGCATCGACATGTACAGCAATGGAAGTTGCAGGAAGTGATTTACACGCTGGATATTGTCACAGTTGGAGCAAGTGGATCTTGGTCCTGCTCTTACGGTGGCTTTCAGTCTTCCAATTCCGGATTGAGAGTTCGAGGTATGTTTTAGGCAAGAGTGATTTCCGGAGAAACATCCACAATTGCACATCAGCAATTTGTTTTGTTTATTCCACAGCGTACAATGCCTGAAAGCTCCATCACATTTAGTCCAAGGTTTACTTTGAAAAATGAACAATAATCAATATCTCAGTGAATCACATTTTTAGTCAATAAAATGTATGTGCGGAACAGAAAGTCTGTCCATAACCCTTATGATCATATAGACCAAAATCAGATAAAACTGCATGTTGTCTTTCCACAACTTCCATTGAGCTTTCACTAAAACTTGGTTCCGTGTACCCGCAGAGTTAATAATATGTTGCACAACCCCAATTGTAAAACTCTTCGAACCTGAAGACAGTGGAGCCGAACGCTGCATCAAAACCCCCTCTTTGTGGAAGAAAACAGTAAACCTCCTCATCATGACTTGAGTTGCGGTACACGAATGCTTAAATTCTATCCATTCACCACTTTGTCAGTCTTGTTCTTGATCACCTGCCTGCCAACATTCCGTGATATGACCCGTCAATAATTTCAAAAGAATGAAATGAAAAAATCATTTAATCCAAAATCAATTGGTTCAAAACAGTTTCCCCATATTCACAAACACACTAGTGTATTGATGGTTGTTCGGAGAGATCAGCAATTCGAGTCCGTCACTACTGGCGCGTAACAATAGACAGGACTACAGTGCCATTCTTTAGCCGGTGAGAAAACATTGAAACTGTGCTCTTTATTTATTCGCAAAAGAGATCAGGAGGCAGAAATAATTAGTCAAGGTTATGGGCGTTGCTGATCACCGCATACCACAGCCTCGAATGAAATAACTTTTCATGGCAGTTTTACATCGACAATAAATACAGTAGCGGCCGATTGCGTTACACTAGAATATTGTCTTTCTGACTAAATTCAATTTTATTATATTTATGAACTGTATGAACGCTTTAGGTATGGGCAATAAGTTATCCCTTGTTTACTTCGATCTACGTAGTTTCTAGGTGGCATGATTGTCAGTTAAATTTGCGTGACCTTGGTTGCCAAGATAAAATAATCTCAACATGAAAATTTGCAAACTATATCAAGTAGAAAAATACAATATAGTCTAAAAGGAACAACCCGAGAATTATCCGCTAATCACGAAGATCATAGCTCTGGAGACTCACTTCAGTTTAAATTTCGTTGTCCGTACAAACCCTCAAGTGTTTTACAGGGACCCGTTGTTTCAGTTTCGATTAAACCTTTAAAGTGCACGCATACACACACGCACACACTCACCTTCTCCTATTACATACATTAAATTCCTCATATAAAAATATTAAATACTGTATAAGATCCTCAGTTTGCAATAGTTATCGAATCAGACGCATTCTCTTTGTTTAATGACATCTGAAAATATCGGAAAATGAAAATAACAGGGAAGTCAACAAATATTGAGGATAATTCTCCCGAGAAATACTCTAGAATCTAAATATGAGCGCGCATCCTTAGACGAGTGTCTTATTTTGTATATCAGTAAACAAGTACGGAAACTTCAGGTGCTTAAACCGAACCCCAAGGATTTCATGAGAATTGATTCATGAGTAGAATTTTGATCACTTGAAACAAATTTCTGCTGTTTGTCTCTGATGAACTCTCAATTTAAGCTTAAAGTATTATCCATATATCATTTTGTGTATAGACATAAATATATTATCTCGAATGGTTTAATAAACACGCCGGTATTTAAGCGCTTGCAACTGATTTAATTTTTGTGCGTATAAACGGTGCTATTGGAATTGTTTCGTAGGATATGTTGTATTGTATTGTATTGAAGCTTTAGCGAGTTATGTACAAGCTTTCAGCGAACAAGAGGTAACCGTTACAATACTCACAAAAATATAGGACGTTATGCGTGCAAAAAAATATGTTAACTGCTAAACTCATTAGAAAGCTCAGAACGAATGCTGTCGTTGTCGGTCAGTATCCGGGCAAGACATGATACCAAAAGGTGTCTGTGGGCACATTTCCGAAATGGAATGAGTTTGGAACCTGCTTTGCAGTCCATAACTCTCGATTCCTTATTATCAGATTGAAATATATTCCAGATGTATGACTATAATTTAGTGTTGTGTGGTGTAAAAATAGTATCGATTTGACTTGGTTTGAAGTTCCACAGAAGATTCTGGAGCTGATATACGATTTCCAGTTTACTTCAACCATCACGGACAAAGGTCATGCTCGTTCAGTTCAAACTTTACGAGCCAGACAGGACTAAATGAGGGGATTTGGGACTGAGAAAATGGCGATTCATCACCCGTACTGTCGATGCGGAGAACCTCGCTTACGTATTGCTTTCGATATTATTAATCTCGTGCAGCTGTTTGGTCTACAAATCATTTATTTTCTATCCTTGCATCTTGATCAAAATATTCGGTCATGTTTGCATCTGTTTCATTGGTAACGATATGTGATATGTGGTTTTTATTTGTGGAACTCTTTTTGTGTGTGTTGATTTGTTTTGGTGCTAAACTGGCAAAATTACTGCTCGCTATGGAAGTGCTTGTATATATATATA